TTGGGCAAATGTTTCTGTATGCACTAACTGTCAATCCAAGTTCATTGCCTGCTTCTCCCTAGTTAAACTAACAGCAGTTTCATATAAGACAATTTTAAAAGCAATCATACATCATCTGCATTACTAAATGTGTTGCGGCACTCCGCTTTTTTCCACAAGGAACATCAGTGAGGTCTTTCAATACTCATAAGTAGTGGGCATTCCAAACCCTATACATCAGCTCCTGCTTTCTTACCATCAGCAAGAGCGCACTTTTAGAGGCAAAGAGGCTATGACCTCAAATGCCGTAAACCCAATACTTCCCCGAGAAATATTTTTGGTTGAAATGAAGCTGCCACCCAAATTCAGCATAGCTTGGATTGTGCTGCTAAAAATTAAGACAGGAGAGAATGGAGGGTAAATGCACCAAAAAACCACAAAGCCCTTTGGGAGAAAACAAGGGCACACCGATCAGCCTTCGTCACCTTCTGTGGTACATAGGAAGATGGTCTCGTCCTTCCAGCCACCCTCCCAGACATGTCCCCCTTCTTGCTGAGGGCCAAGCATGCACAGCAAAGTATGGTTTGTTAAGAGGAGAGAACATTTAGTAATTAGTCAACTGCTCCGCAGGAAGCAAAGAGTATGTGCTCTCAAACCCAAGCACGTGCAAAGAGTTTGCCTAGAGTACCTTTCACTAGGGAGTAATGTACTTTTAAGTTCCCACTGACTGCAGATAACATCACACAACAGCAGCTAGCATAGACCGGTTAATGCCTTGTAACACGTCCTTCCTCACCTGAACACATATTTGGGTACCCAGCTCCTGGGTTACTGCCATTTTGCTTTTTATAGAAGATCTGTGTTCTATTTACCTACCAAAGGAGTACTGAGCACTCATTAACAGCAACTCTGGTAAAAACGGTGCCTCTTATTATACAGGACTTAAAAGAACTTAATATTCAGGACAGATAACCTGTTTATATACTGCTCTAATCAGAAACCACTAAGCATTACAATCCCACGCTTCGTAATGAGTACACTAGTAATAATTTCTAGAAGCCAGCAATGCCATTTTAGTTAGGCTTACTGCAACAATTAAACTGGTTTCTAAGGCATATTGGCACAAGAACCACATGTACAACAATTCCCACTCTGCATGTTTCAGGACTAAGCTTATTAAAGGGGAATAATCTCATGTTGTCTTCCTCCCTTTCATCTCTCCTGTGTGTCAATCAAGCATTTCAGTATAAAAATCACAATATACTCAACAGCCTGTATAACGCTACTTCAGTATTACACAGACCAGGGGCATTATTACTTCATCTATTAATGGCATAGTAACACATATGCAGAACTGCAGGATTACACCTGAACAAATGCAGCTGAAAATTTGCTAAGTTCATTAGTTAGGTTTTTTTCTCACCTGACTCCTAGAGGTTCAGATTTACAGTATTTCCATAGGGTTCAAATTTTCAAAGGACAGATTTCTTCCAGAATGTTTATTATTCCACACTTCTATTCTTTGAAAGTACACCCAACAGCCTGAGAGCTTATGATTTAAGTTCACCTGTATATTTATGCTTAAGCATCACTTATTTTAAAAGCCACCCATCCTCAAAAGGGCAGGTATACCTTTTTCCATAATGGATAGTAAAGTCTTTGAAATTTGCCATGAAAAAATAGAGAAGAGACCAAGAAACCTACATAAATGGTAACACAAGCCTTGCTTTTCTACACCAACAGGTAACTTACCTTCACATTGTTCCTTTTGGGTTGCAAACAGCACATAACTACTATAGTATCTCATACTATTCCTCGTATAAGTAATTCATTAGTAATAAAAACACTCTTTGCTTACACACAGGCACAAAAGGTTATCTGCAGGGTGAAACAACATTCCTGTAAAACAATATCCTACCTTTTGCTAAAATTCAGAGTGTTAATCAATTGCTCCTGATCCATTTGAGATGCATGTAAGTTAAGAGCCAGGTCCTCAAAACAAGCACACCCCCATGGCTTTCTCTTTTCTGTTCATGCAAGTATGCATCCTTAGCACAAACTCCAAGCTTCCAAGCAGAAAGAGGATACAGCGTAAGTGATGTACTTGCAGAGGATGGTGTGCTTGAGCTAATGTAACTAGACATACTGCAGATGAGCTTATGCAACATCATTAATTTTTTTTCATTAGGAAAAAACATCTAGGTAAAACTTGCCACAAGTAATCAAGCCTTTTGCTACAGTCTGATTAAGCTGCTACCCCATTCTATGTTGGCATAGGCTAGATTGCCAGCACACAACCATCAGTAATTAGTACAATCGATTACTTAAGGCACAAGGTGGAGGGGAAAAAACCCATAAATTTGAAACACTTAAAAACCCCCCTGTTTCCTCTTGATTGCCTACTCTCACCTATCTTCTGAAACTGGCCTGGTGCTCCAGACCAGAAATTAATAGACATCAGTATTAGGGAACTAAAAAAGCTTTACTCTACAACTTTAACTTCTGCAGAACAGAGAAAAGAGGAGGGGGGACACACCAAACAAAACAACTAACCCACAAAAAACCCCAACAGAAGATCCGTTCTAAAGATACTTACAAATGACTACCATTATCAGCCTCCTTATCACCAATTCCTGATGTAAGATGACTTGGATCAAATGGGATGTTTAGGGCAGTTAACATCACTGAACGCATTTGACAATATTTTTGCCAGTCACATCAACTCTTCCCTTTGAAAAGCAAGAGTTTTAATTTTCTTCTTTCTACCAGGCATATGAGCAGACCCCACAGTAAAAAAAAAACGTGTTTAGGTGGCTATTCAAGTGCACTGGCATTGCTGTTTCCACACACTACGTACTAAGTCTACTGAAGTCAGTGTGAAGCCTTCCTTTACCCCTAAGAGAATTTTCTGATCAAACTCTGAGCAAAGCACCCCATATAATCAAAAATACAGCAGCATGGCCTAACATTAATCTGTCAAGCACCCTGACTGACAGCAGCCAAATGCTTCAGATGGGAAGTACAAGAATTTCTATGCAGACAGATATAGGTAACCTCTCGGGGGGGGCTGCAAACACAAACCACCCATCCAGATTTGGATAAGCTCATCCCTTTCGTAAGGAGCCAATCTTTTTTGGAACCATCTGACATTTTAGGGTGCAGTTTTACTAACACGTTTAGCAACAAAGTCCAAAAAGAACCCCACTGAGAAACTCTTTTCCCAACACCTCTACAGAAGGGAACAAGAATGCCACCTGCTGGAAACAACGTGGAAAAAACCGGCAAAGAAATTCTGCAGCAAAGCAAAACCCATGTATTCTTAAAGAGCCAGTTAAAAGAGACATGGATATTTATGCTGGTCTCCAGTTTATATTTAAGAACTATGCTGGAGGAAACCAAGGTAGGCAAAATGAGAGTGAATTAAATCAGGCAGAACGGTAAGATTACATTACAAGCACACTCAAGACTAGCTATTGCAAAAAAGGCTTAGTGTTTTTGTTTTAATCTGTTTGACACACACCAACCAGCCCCAAAGAACAAAAAGCTAACTGTGCAAAAACTGGAACCATTGCCAAGTCGAGCCTTCTGATGTGTTTAAGAGCTCAACTCATTTATTGGGAATCTACCACTTCGGTCAAACTGTGCTACTGCTCAGACCTACATTTCAATTAAAGAATCTTTATTTTCAAGATTTTTCTGCCAAATCTCAGTGGTATGCATAGCTACTAAGAGTAAAAGGAACAAAGTTAAGCAGGTAAATAACCAAAGGTGACCCCCACTGCCTTTTGCCCCTATACACTAGCAGAAGGAATTGGGGGCCTCTATCCACCACTAGAAAATCAGTGTCTTCTAGCCAGGTCTCCAGAGCCCAGGCACCTCCAAGATGACTAACCTAGCACAGGACCACAGCCCTACAGCTCCTAGATACTCACTGCTCCCATTACATACATGTTCTTCATCTACACAGAATAACAGATGAAATCCACATAAAGCATCAGTCAGCATTTTTAGGAAAAAAAAAAATCTTACTAGGAAGTGTAGCATGGGAGTCTTCCTCTGAGAATCACCTGTGTGGAAAAAGAGATCTGCTGCTGCTTGTTGTGAAGCCACCCCACTCCCCCAAACCCATCCACTTATCCTGAGTGGTTATTCAAAAGCTCATCAAGAAGAACCTCTCTGACAGAAAAAAAAAGACAAGAAACTGACACTTACAACTTGGTAGCTTCACTCAGGTTTCACCCCAAAACATTTTAAGGATAATTCTTTCCAGGACAGTGCAAACAAACCACTGACTGGATTCTCTAAGGGGCATCGTATCAGTTACGCGTAGCTTAAATAGCAGTATTTGAAAGATAAGGTCCCATGATCACTCCTCCCACAGAATACATGCAATTTTTCCACAGAAAAACCTCACCTATTATAATTTGTCACAAAAGACTAACTTGCATTCACAGGCTCAAAGTAGCAGAGCCTGTAATCCTCTGTATACCCCTCCAGTATCTACGTTATGCCGATTAAATGAAAACCAAGTGAGATATGACAAGCATCAAGCAGATGTTACTCCCAACTCAAAAGGGACACCACGTCTACCTTCACAGAAAAATAGAATGGTAAATAAAACCCAGTTTTCTTCATTGGCGAGTTATACAGCAGCTTTCCCCAAGTAACTGCATTAGTTGCTCTGTGGGGAGGACTTGAGTCAAGACAACAAAAGCATTGAACATTCTGCAATTTCAACAGAGTAAAGAGCCCAGTATTATGGATATAACACGTGCTTGCCTTTTGGCTGCAGTTGCGGAAATTGGATGGCAATACTTCAGAAGTTACAGAAATACTTTTATTAGAGTAAGAACTGTTATGTGCAGAGAAAAAAACAACCACACAAACTAAGGAGCTTTCAGCTACCAACAAAAGGAATCTAAAATGTCTTCAGTTTTGACAACAGACTCCTGTCTGTGACAATGTTTCTTGTCACAAAGAATTTACCAGTGAAATTCACAAGTTAAATTTATTTTTTCTTTTCATAAAGTATGATTTGAATTACACTATTTGCTTTCCAAGGCTGATCATCAGATCCACAAGGAAAGACATCAGGTACTAACAGGTTCTTGGACATGTTTTTCTTCATCATCCTCCGCATTTTTTTCTTCTACTTTTTCCACCTGAGGTAGGAGTCCATCAAGGTTCAATAGCAAACCTTCACTGGTTGAAGATCTAATAACCAACTTCTGTACAAAAGGACCTAGAAAACAAAGAACACCACCAATTCGGTCACTCTCCCACTCTTCATGTCTCCAGGCTGATTTGTCATAGTACTAATCCATACTGCATCAAGCACATGACCGGGATCAGAACTATACATGTAGACACATCCCTTCAGACAGAGTGTTTAACATCCACCCTGGAAGACTGGGTTCAAAACACAATTCACACTCTGGTGCCATAAAAAGATATTAACTTGATGGCTACCTTATTCCTTCACTACCTCACCAGCAGTTGACATCACTGGTGCCCCTGGGCCTTTGAACATACAAGTAAAACTTCACACACACACTCCTCCAAAAAAAAATTAAATACAGGTTAACTCACTTTGGGAAGCGGTCCTGATTGGCAAGATATTGGGGGACAGTGGTGGAGTTTTGATCACCCAAATATTCATATATAACTAAGAGCACAAAAGACACCATTTCTAATTGAGGATCCTACCACGAAATGCTGAAGGAACCTTTTTGACAAGAAGAGCTACAAAAACAGTCAGATTGCTTTATGGAAGATTAAATAGATCTACATCACAGTCTGAGAACATTTGCTTGGTGGTATTTTTAGTCTCACATTAGATCAAGTGACTCGCAGAGGAATGACATTTTAGTGATAACTAAATAGCTGCATGAGGACATGCTATTACATATGGGAAGTCTGAAAGGAACTAATGAACTGATATCTATAACTAGCTGGTCTAAGTGATTGGTAGTTAGCAAGCATATCTAGACTCCACTGTTGCAAAGATGTGTTAATTACCAAGTCTACTTCCTATAAACAGCCAATACTTTTAATGAAGCCAGTAAGAGACCCACTACAAGAACCAAACTTGATAATGCAAAATCAGCAGAAATGCTACTAAGACCAGAAAAGCTTACCCTTACTTAACTAGATTGGTGTAGTTCACATAAGAACTCATTCAGGACAAAAATACCACCACTTCCTGCTTTTATTTACTTATATCTCAAGTCAGCCAACCCCTTATACGTTTTATGTGGGCTGAAATGCTTCTAAAGGCACGTGTACTTGGCTTTTCGTGGTCTCTCCTCTGTACAGTAGTTACTATTAACAGCATCACTGGAAGAGATGCAAGATGATTCTTTTTGCAGACATTAAGCCAGTATTAAAACACCGTTTTCTTAGCTCAAACAAGGCTAATTCTTCCATAAAATTAGGTTCATAAATCACCATTGCCACTCCAGCTAACCAGATGACATTTGTTTAAAAGTTTACTTCATTATGAATAAGAACAGATAGCATATGAGTTGTTCACATTATTTGCTCAGAACAGTGAGCAGAACCCACAGGAACAACACGCAGAATTCACACCTTTACTCCTTTGTAACCTGATCCTTTTGCTAAGGAATAAAAAAAAAAAAAAAAAAAGATGAACGGCTTTTCCCTTGGAGCAGCCGAAATTTAAAAAATATCTTGGTAATAGAGGGGAAAAAAAAAAAAAGGTGGTATACCTTCAAACAGGGTAGCTAACCAGACTAGATGTTAACTGAAGCACAAGCTTTAACTTAAGCAATTGCTGGTGGATTCCAGGTTCAGATTCTATACATTGAGCCACAACAGGGTCACGTCAGTGGAGTAAAACCAATGCACACAGACACTGAAGACCTCCATGTCCCATAAGGATTTCCTTGTATGGCTTTAATCCACTTGAGCACCAAGCCTGCAAACTTAAGTTTTGTACAATATCTCACTCCTTTCCTCACACAGGCACTTATAAGGTGCAACTGGAGTTCACATCAATAAGAGCAGATGCTATTCATGCCCTTACAGGCTGTAATTTCTTACGTCTTGATTTACTGAGTTGCCTAACAGCTTCCTCCTGTCCCAAGGCGGACAAAGCAGCAAGGTCATTTAATGACAACCCAGTAAACAAGACTCATTTCTTAATTTTGTTGGCTGTAATGTCAACTACCACATGAGAAGAACAGCTACTTACCGTAAGTCAATGGCTTGAACGTGCAGATATCATGGATAACTGTTTTTAGATTGGCAACTATCTGCTCAGTAGGCATATCCAGCTGAAAAAGAATAACGCAAAGTTAGCCATGGGGATACTTAAAGTCTAGATTAATAAATCTGAAAGCACTGGGTACATATTTATTTTACATTTGGATAGATTTTGTTTCTCTGCATTCCCTGTTAAGGAGTTACAAATCCCATTAACAGCCATATCCAAGTGACTGGGAGAAAAAACTATTTTATACATGGTTATACGCTCATCATTATTCTCTGTATTTCTACTCATGACATTAAATTTCCATGGCTCCGTAACAACATGTAGCCTTAGAGAGGTAAAGTCTTAAAAACAATATATGTACAAGTGTTTTTGCAAAAAATCACATTAAAATAAAGTATTTGCAGAAAAAAGCCTCAAGAAGTAGCTGTCAAAGACTGCAAAACAGATCAACTCAAAAACAAAAGCATCTAAAACTGAAGGCATTAAGAAATTTAACATAACCAAACAAATAATTTAAAAAAAAATATAAAGCTTCATCCTCTTTTCTTTCCCATTTTAACATATGAAATGGAATTTCTACTTTTTACGTAAGTTACGTGGAAGCATTGAGCTCTAAACATATACCAGTTCTGTATCTACTGTTTTTACGGACCCCGGTTCCCGTCCATGGCGTTTTTGACCTTCCAACAAAAACTGTGGACTGATGGCTCCTTGTCCTGCCCGATGTCCTCATCTAATGGAGCACTTAAGCACACCTTACTTCCAACACAGATGTGATCCTCACTGCACCAATCACAGATACTTGGAAGGGAACCAACACTTGCCAAAAAATTAATACCTCCATCTTCTCTCTTAGACCAATCACCTTAAACCATGACTACTATTCATATTATCTGGACTCTCTTCAAGAACGTGCAACTCATGATCAAGAGACAGGCCAACCTGAACAGCCTCTGGTCAAAGCCAGGACTGACCTGACTCTCAGCTCCTGGAGAGCTTAACGTGCATTTCTCAGACTTAAATGTTTGGCTGCTATAATGCCCTGCTATGCTTTAATTCATTTGCTGTCTGGTCTCACCCATATCATCCACATTTCTTTATCTGAATGAAAAATCAAGTTCTTTTTCTAGAGCTTTCAGGTATGGAATTAAAAAAAAAAAAAGCATTTATTCTCACACAATTAACAATGTTTCAGGGGAGCCTACAGGCTCCACTGGGGTCTCCTCTTCCTCTCCACCACCTCCCAATGTAGCATGAGCAGATTTTATTAATATCTCACTTATCTGTAAATGTATGCATTAATTTGCAATAGAGATATAGTTACTTGACTAGTCTTCTCCCAGGTCTGGTCCATTAATCTCTCTTTATGCTCTTCTGGCAGACTTACAATCTAAATGCAGTTCCTCTGTTACACAGGCCAAAACACATTTGTCTTTATCATTGTTATGCTGATTGCAACGTGCCTAATCATTCATAAATTAACGGACATAAAATCTGTTTGTTAATGCTGAGCATTTCACTTCACTGACAGACACACCATGCTCTACCGAATACAAAATAAGAGGAATACTCAGAACCATTTAAATAAAAAATTCATTGGTAGCAACTAATTAGAAACTATACTTCAAATGAAGGTTCAAATAGTGTTTGCTTCCAAACCTTACACTAAGTTGAGGTCTTAAGCTAAGACCTGTACAGTTGTACAATTTCAGGGAGCTATTTGACATTCATCATATGTAACAAAGTCTAGAAACATTCAGAAGAGACAGAATTTGCAAGTTGCTCTAAACAAGTTAGAACTTCTTATAAAGAAGTACAAGAAGTTTTGAGACAAGATCCATCTCAAAATCTGAAGGTGTTAGTTAACATTCTGTAGCTGTTAAGACAGGAAAATAGGACAGAGTGACTTTCATTCAAATCAGACAACACGACACATCCCAAGAGATCACGTACCATAATTTACTTGAGATGCAGACAGCTCCATAATGAAAAAAGGTAATGGTCAGAGGGTTCCAAGTATTTCAAAATAGCTTACACATCCAAATAAATATTCCAGCTTCCAAGTAAGTATTCCACAGTAAACCCTTGTGTATGCACAGTCACTGTGTATCAGCACTTAGATATTTAGTTTAATTCAAACCCTCGCCAAACTGACCAAAGTACTCTGGACCAGATCTTCAAGACTGTGCAACCTACTCTGTTCAGACCGACTGCCATGACAGGTAAATATCTTTAAATCCTGAGCCTTCCTGAAAAATAATCATGCCTGCAGAGGGAGCAACTATAAATCAATTCCTAGTCCACTTTGTATAAATACAACCTAACCACAAGGTACCTTAGAAAATGACAGTATATACTACAATCAGAACACAGAAATTAATCACTACCTATCTTACTGTTTAAAGTTTAGGACACTTCTCTCCAGAGCAGCACAAGGTGCTGTAAAAAGCTTCAGGGAAGTTACTGTTTGTTTTTTTGTTTTGGTTTTTTTTTTTTAATAAGAAACATGTTATATTTGTCTTTAAAAGGGCCTCCCCCACTAACTCTGCTGCCTAGTGGGAAATTGCCTATTAATATTCAGCATAGCACAAGTTTCACCAAAACAGATCATGTTTAAAACTTGATTGATGAAGTCTCAATGCTTCTAATCTTCTGGGGGATCTTTGGAAGACTGCAAGTGAATGCACAGAAGAGCCACTCAACTATTTGCTGGCTAAATATGCAATTGAAAAACAACAAGATGCCTTGCAATTAAAACACTAGCTTTAACCACAGAACTGCTTTTCTAAACTCTATTTAGAGAATTCTACCAAGAGATCATTCAGAGCACTGAAACTGTACTGCAGACTTAACTAACAGGCAGTTCAAATATAACACACATGTAGGGAATGGCAGTCATTGCAGGGCAGGAACACCTGGTACAAGATGAGAAATGATTAACACTCTGCAAAACAAGATTATTGCCAGCTATTTAACTCAATACCTTAAGAATCAGTGGGCAGGAAAATAAAGCTAGCAACTAGCCAGTAAAAAAACTGTCTTTATCTCAACCCACAGGTTTTCTCACTTTTACTCTTCCGATTTTCGCCCCCATCCCACCAGCGAGCAGCTGCATGGTGCTTAGGTGCCAGCTGGGGTTAAACCACACCACCATTCAACCAGAAAGCTACATAAGTTCTCAGAGCACCTTAATTGGGCTTATAGTTGTGGTATTGGCTGGGGGGGGGGGGGGAGGCAGAAATCTCCTCCAAGTCCCCTCCTACAGCTGTTGAAGTGACAAACTAAGAACAACAGAAAACCCACAGAGACCCGGAATTTTAGGTTTGGCTCTCTCAACAGTAAGATCTAGAATTCCTACTACCCACAAAAAACCAAGAAACAAAAAAGTTTTTATAATTTCAGTTAAATGCAAAGCAAGAAGTGGGTTCACAAAAACAGACATGAGTTCATACCTCTGTTTTCCAAGCAGGGACCTTTTGTCTCCTCATGCTGTCTATTAAGACATTTACCTTTTACACCTATCTTACTTTTTTGTACCAGTGAGACATTTCTGGAGCACAGTAAACTGCGAAGAAATTACCAACGGTAATTTGACCAGCATCCCATAACAATATGCAACCTCTGCATCACTATAATATAACCAGATTTTCTCTTAATTTCAACACAGAACACTTGACTCTACTAAACTCCAAGCACTTGCCTTCAAATGTCTCTACACAAAATGTTAACTACACCTATTTTAAAAATCAGGTTTAGAGCTACTCCTAAACAAGTTTTATTTTGCTTTGCAGCAGCATAATGCAACAACTCCACTTGGCCATTATTCTGGGACATCAAGCATCTTTTGTTACACAGTGAGGCCAGAAACTCGCATCTCTGCTTTCAGGAACAAAAAGAAAGCCTCTGAACCAAGACGTAAGTGTTGACAAACATGGCAGAACAACATTTCTGTACCACTTGCAAAGACATCTGGAGGACTGACAGTATCAATAAGAGAAGAGCACTGATGTATTTTGCATTGCCTCGCTTTCACAGGTTTCTGCTCAGTTATGAACCTTCCTGAGAAGGTCAGAATAAGGGAAGAAACAGAGTTCTGTGCAGGAGCCTATAACAACATCAACCGTGCAGACAGCATTTTCTCATCCTGGCACTCAAAGGAGATGCATTTCTGAGGTAGTAGCCCCATGCAGTCCGCAGGGAAAAAAAAAAAAAAAAAAAAATGAATGCAGGCATAGAAATACCCTTACTGAGGCTGTTGTAAAGGGTTATTTCCTATTCCTAGTTTAACTTGCTACAACTTCTTCCACATCCTTGGTCCTGTTTGGAACAAAACTCAAGCCTTTTGCCAGTACCAGGCTACTAGGAAGACGTTATGCAGGTACAGTCTAGCGCATACCATCAGGACTTACGCAACACATGCAACTCCAAGGTACGTAATTTAAGGCTGAAAATCTCTCTCATCCTGGACTTGTCAATAGTTGGAATCATTTAGACTTAGCACTGCCGACAGGCAAGCCTTTCCATGTGGTATCTCAAATAAGAGAACAGCTCAAACTGGTAACAACAGACAACCGTTACTACCTATGCTTTTTGCATTATTCCCTTCATCCCCCAATAAACATATTTCAACTCTCAAGTATTCAAAGTAGCAAGAGTTAACACATCTTCCTCAACTGTGGGATTTTCTCCCCGCCTCCTTCAGGGAGTTCAAAGCTAGGAATCCATTACTCTTGTCTTTTTTTTCTTTTTCAAAGGACACTTACACTTCAGGCCTTCAACCACATTTACAGACAAGGAACCTAGATGCTACTTTTAGTGCAAATGGGCATTTCTGTTTCCTGCCTTAACTCTCATTTCCACACTTCTGTACATTCTACGTACCCAGTTTGAGATATCTCTGGTTCAGTACACATCTCTCCATACTTCTAACCCTCTGAATAAAACAGTGCTCCTGTAAACATGTCCCTTCCCAGAAAACACATCCTTCCGAACAAACCTTAAAGTCTCACTTCCTGAAACCATCTTACTCTTTTCCATAGAAAAACAATTTTGCAGGCAGCTCTCTGCACAGATAGGAAGATACACTAGAAATTCCTTCCTGGTGTCACATGCGGACTCTGATTTTTCTGAAGACAACTCCAACTTGGGAAAAAGAGAATTTTGTAATGATCAACAGCACCCTGTTTGGACTCAAGACTTATGTCAAAACCCTCAAGAAAATGACTTTAAGCTGCCCTCTGCAGACAGCTCAATTCTGAAGGAGATATCCCGAGTGTCCTCATTTGTTTCCCTTCTGCTTTAAGCTCCACGTCTTGAAAAAAGATTTTACATTCTCAGTTTTACAACTTCAGATCTGCTAATTAAACTTAACTGCTGCCAACTTCTGGGCTTTTCAAAGACATCTCAATTACTACTAAGAATACGACACTGAGGCTGCTGACTTACGTGGGAGTGCAGCATGACATCAAGCCACTGGCCATAACTGAACTAACAGGCAACATGAGACAGCAGCACTAAAGGGAAAACATCTCTTTGAGAAACGCCGGCTTGGCAGACTCCCAGAAACATCTACGCTACTGTTTGGAATACAGCAATTGATCTTCATGCTTCTGTGTAATTCATAAATTATTATTTTCTCACTGACAAGATTTAAATTTAAAAAGCTCTTGATTTAGTGGTAAGCAGATATGCATAACCACTCAAGGCTCTCGCAGCCTCCCAGAGCCTTGCCTACACTCGATTTCCTTCCAGCGCCACTGCGCAAACAGTAGGAAAACTAGGTCAGGTAAAGGATAGTAGCTAGAGAGGGTGGAGACATTTTACACAAGCCATAACCACTGAGTCACCCCTCCGCACACAACTCAATGCACAACAGTGTGACAGAGCATGACACACTGTGTGTGCAGTGTTAAGAGTCACCTCTGCCACGTAGCTGACATAAATTTAGCACGTATGAACTCTGTAAGGAAACCCTCATCAAACTGCTTCTGATCCAAGATTAGGAGTTTATTCGTGAGAACCTACTGTTTACTTGTACAGAGTGACATCTCTGGCTGCACCAAATCTTCGGAAGTGCCATGAAACTGCAGGGCTGAGCTGCCTAGACACAGAACCGAAGGTAATCTGTAACACCAACACCTTACATCAGTGACAGGACGTGGTTTTAACTTCCGAAACTGGAGCCACAGCTGCAGAACTAATACACTAAGCAGAACCAACTACAATTGCACTGAATACTGTCAGGACATCAAGAATTCATCATTCACCTTTATTAAAAACCTGATTTTTCTTCTTGACTACACAAGAAGAAACTTTACAGTAAGTTTAATTTGCAGAGCAGTCCAAAGCAAAAATTAAAGAATACAGTCACAATACTTGAAACTACGACTAATCTATGGATTCGAGGCATTTCACACAGTCCATTAAACTTACGAACAGCCAAAGATACTTCCTGCTTCTATCAAAGTGCAAGATAACACACACTTTAGCAGAAGAGTCCCAAGAACCTCAGTTTTGAGTATCGTATAGATGAGCAAGCCATTGAAATTCACATGCACAACTCAGAGCAGCTAGCCAGAATTAAACAAACTTGCTTATTTCTAACCACCAAAGCTGCAGGGGTTAACTATCTCATACACTTCCTTTCTGTACCAGTATCAGTTAAAGGAAAACTAAAAATCAGGCACTTTTACAAACAAACAAAACAAAATGAGCAGGAAAAATAAATAACAAAAAATTAAGGAAAACATATTAAGGCCTAAAAAAAAGAAATAAGAGAGAAAAGATACCCTTATGTGACGCATTTTCTTATGTGACAGCAAAGCACAAATTAATTTTATGTATCAGGTGTAATGCACAGTTCTTGCTTTTTGCTCCAGTCCAGGACTAAAGTTATCAAAGTTAAATGAGTCTTTAATTATTAGGTTAAAGGTCACATTTTTTGATCCACCTGTGCATATTGACCATGTACTCACAACCCGTGGTTTATTTAATTAAAAAAAACAAATAAGCTCTATTTTACTCACAGAAGAGTGCTGGGGAAGGCAGGAGGAAAGGGAAGCCTATGTTAAGATGTCAACTCACAAGGAGATCACTAGGAAGAGTAACTTTTCTCATGCTATTTTGTTCATTATTACGATTCCTTGCCAATATAGTGGCGAATACAGATCCCACTCTTGGCATCCTTAACGTCTTAGCATCAGGTATGCCTTGCTCTCAGTTTTAGCGGAGCCATCTTCTATGACCACACATTAACAACATACAGTGCTCACATCAGCTGAAGATGTCACACAACAAAGAGTAAGAGTTCCATTTACTTCACAGGTCAAAGAACATGGTTAAAAATCTTGGGAACAAACAGATTAAAAATATCCCCCTCCCTCTTTTAACACTAACTGCAGTTCTGCCCAGCAAAAAAAACCTTAAGAACTCTATATACAACTTACTCTTGCTATTCTTGTCTTGATTAGACGCTCGCCTTCTACCATGTACTCAAGACCTTCTCTGAAGAGTTGCAGCATTTTAGGAATATCATGGCCCATGGAATCTAGTTTTTTTTTAAAAAAAAAAAAAGGCAGAAAAGTTGTCTGAGTAATGCTTATTAATGTGGCTAAGTGTGATATTAGTAAAGAGAGAATTCAATCTTTCAATTAAGGCAGTTAGACTCCAATCAAAAATGCAGTTTCATGGACAAGACAGTGGTGCCCTCTCACATACTATATAAATAATTTCTATTTTCCCTCCTTCCTTATTAATCAACAGACATGAATAGCCAATACAGTAGGAAACGTAATAAAGGCTTCACTTCAAATAAAGAACCTGCTTATGCATATATAAAACACAGCTTTATTACCTAACACAATTAAAGCAGCCTGAAAGACCAAAAGCTACTGAGTTCGGTTTAGAACAAGCCCCAGGTTTTCCTTGCAAATGAAGCCTCCAACTACGTAATAGCAAAGTAAACACACTACCTGGAACACCCTGGCCCAATCCAGCCATTCCCACAAGTCAAGCTATTTCTTATCTCAGCTGCAAGAGCACATTTGACAGATTTACACCATCACTCAATTGCTTCCAATACAAGCATTACTTCTCCCACAGATCTTTTGATGGCTCCAAGAGAAATTGGCCCTGGATAAGCTACAAATCAAGTAAGCTCATAATGGCACAATATACTTTTTGGAACAAAGGAAAACTATCTGGAGTATTTTCCGTTGCAATGTTTTGGACAGGTTAATAGGCTTGTCTTAAATGTTTAGGAGGCTAAAAACACTGCCTGCAGCTTACAAAACATTAAGACAGCTGGGGCAGGAAAGTAAGAGATATGGTTCAATACTCAGTGCTTCAGACAGCTGGCACAAGCTCTATGTTGGAAAAACAGATTTGGTTTTTTTTGTCGTATTTGAAATAGACTCCTAACACAGAGCTAAAAAAGTAAGTCTGCAAGAGAGGACAAAAGTCCGATGTCAGTTGCTGTGAAAACCTGACCTGAAGAGGAAATGTCTTCAGCATTACAAAAAATGAGAGACCACACAGATAAGGGAGCAGGCTGTACTAAGGAAAAGCATAAGTAGATCTGTTGTTGAGTAGTAACGAACAGGCAGAAGGAGCAGTAGCAGTCACGAAGCTGGGATCCAAACAACTGCCAACAGTTCGACAAGTGTCTCAGTGAATATTTTTTTTTCAAGTTGTTTCTGTTTTCCTGGGTAACTTCACAATACTATTACCGTTCATCAGGACAAACAAGCATAGGGGCAATTAGTAGGCAAACTTATCTTGATTCTAATCCCACATTTGCCTGTTGTAGGAGAAAAGCACAGTCCTAGATTCCTAAAACTACTCTTATCTAAAACAAAAAAAGTGGTTCAGTCACATACAGTCTAATACTCAATGCAATCATACATCTTCAGCAAAAAAGTTTCAGTGTCGCCTCTAGAGTTAAATCTTGTTCAGTACCTGGGATTTGTAAGAAAGAATTGCTTCTTACTTTTTTTTGTGCTTGGGTATTTTCGTTTTAGTTTGCTCCTTAACGGTATTAGCTTAGGCATTATTGCAGGAACAGCTACATAGAAGTCCACTTGGATTTCATCTTCCAAAATCTGCAATAAAAACAATTAAATATATTTAGGAATACAATAAATTACCTCAGTACACAAGTTGATCTACAAGCATGTCCGAGCACAAAACCCCATCTCTTACGCTTCACAATGGCTGCTAACTTCAAGCTGGAGTTTACTGGACATGAGGCTTCTCACTCCCCACTCCCCTCAGTCACTGTTTCAAGTTAGGATACTTATATAATTCTTAAAAAAAAAAAAAAAAAAAAAATACCCATTTGATTAATTCAACACCTCCCACAACAGCAGCTCCATTCTCTCGAGCTATTTCAGCTTCTTGCTCATCCTGTTGAGAGAAAAAAAAAAGTTCAGTAACATCTGTACTACCAATTAGTCTATATCAACAGTACTGGATAGGTGATTTATCTTGGACAACTGAGTATAAAACCAGGCTATTTACAGGTTAAAAAGGAAAGAATGGTTTAAGGCAATCAAAGACCCAAAATATCTAATGCTGGTGATTATAGGAGCAGCAACTCCACTCCACTCCACTCCAGGTCCCAATAAGAAGGAACACTGAAGTCTTCAGTTGACTTCTACTGGAGAAGGAGAAAAGGCCATCCCATTGCCAAGAAGCTCTATCAAAAGCCCTTTCTCTACCACCTCCATGCCCTGGAAACTATAACGAATCATCCGCTGGATGGAGCCAACATCGTACTCTAAGCTTAAAGAAAAGCACAGAACATGCTACTAAAAACCATGGTAAAATAGGGCTATTCAACTTCTGAAAGCACTATTAAACTTTGGCTTCAAAGAGCATTTAGAAGTAAACCTCATCTGTCCTCTGCAAGGTTTTGCTTTTAATAGTCTGAAATATGGAAACGTAAGAGGCATCGGTTTTGTAAAAACTTTGGCTCAAGCTTTCGATACAAGCAGATATTCACAACTCAAAACCAGAATCAACTTTTCCTCACAAGAATAAACCGAATAGCTCCACACTTCCATCCAAAAGCACTAGCAGGTGTTTCAGTCGCTCAGCCTTTTTCCACGTATACACCTTCACAGGGCATGGTACCTCTTATCCCACATGAATTTCAGTGAAGAAAGAAGGTTGTGAGATACAGCACCAAAGAACCTGGCATGCTCGGGTCTTTGGTCAGCCCTCCCTTTTGTAGGAGGATTCTTACCTTGTAGCTGAGATAGAGAATTCTACAAAAATTAAGCCCAAAGGGTAGTCAACTAAGTCTGTGACAGTTCTCCAAGATAATCGCATACAGATATATGCAGGTCTATTCTGTTAGAATGATTAACTGGCAAAGAACAGCAGCAGAGGCTGAAACTAGTCTCATACAGATGCTGCAACTGCTCTACACACATTAGTTCACATTAGTGAACTCCTAGGAGAGCAGATAAAGGGTTTGGGACAGAGGGCTGTTAAGTTGCTTAAGGTTTTTGAGGAGAAGTTACTTTCCCCTCCTCTCCCAAGGGTATCCTGTTACAGCACAAATCACTGTGAATAACACCCAGTTCTAATCTGCACTGCCTGCTGAGGCTGAAGACAGCGAGGTTGGACATGGCTGCTACACTAAACCATCTGCCTGTATTACAGAAAGGTGACAAAGGTTTCATGCTATATATGATCTTTAATGATCTCTTCCTTAGTCACATTTATGCAAATGTTTACTGCCTCAGTGCATTGCTAGAATAATCTACATATATGTAAACCTATCAAGGTGAAGGAAATCCTGTAAGATGCTTGTTAATACATTAAGATGCTGCTGAAGATGAATCCTAGACAGACTTAACAGTTCTGTAAAGCACTCGCAGAGTCTTCTCAATAAAAGGTATAGTACTTGCATAGGAACTAGTTGTGTTGTAAGAGCATGCTAGATACGCAAAACGTATAAAAACAAATAATTCAGGCTTACCCACCTCTGTGAAAACCAAGACCTTATTCATTTCATCTGTAAAGCGATACGGAAGAAGAACAGTGCTGGCAAATGGATCCACTTTTTTCTAATAAGTAAAGAAAGAAAAATATTAGAACAACAAAAAAAAAATCATGAGGTAAGGCAAGTTACACAATCATGTGGAGTTGGTCCCCTAAATAGCAATCTTATCCACAATTTCCTTGCACAGAGGTCATAACAAACAAGCACGATGCAGAAATTGTGACTGCTTTTTTCATGTCCAGTATATACTCAAATATAAACTTGAGACATGAATTACTTATGCTGCAGTTTGCCCAAGAGAAAGGGGCCGGGATCAGCAACTCCAGTGCAGGATTGCTACCAGGCTCAGGTACAGTCAATAACAAACACCGAGGTGCCATAGTTGCAGCTTATCTAAATGATGTTTCTGATGCAATGGCCAATGCAAACCGTCAGCAAGGAATGTGTCTCTTACCAAGCCTTGAGAATACCACACAGCCTCCAACAGCAGGAGCAAGAGCTCTGCATTTCTTTAAGTGTGAACTCATTTTCTGGCTCTAAGGGACCCCTGGTGTACCAAAGGGATATTTAGTTACGCATGTGAAGAAAGCAATTCTCAAGTGGCGTAACTGTTCTCAACTTATGGGGGAAGCAGGAAGAGTTTTAGGGAAAGACTAAACCGGGCTAGACACCTTTATATCAAAAAGGTCATAGGCAAACAAGCAATAGCATACTTTCAAGGAACGTTATTAAAAAAAACATAAAATCAAAACAAGATGAAGGACAGAGGCAGGGAAAAGCTTGTCTTTATACTTCTCCCTGTAACAGTCATCCCAGAACAAAGCACACACATGATTTTGGTAACACATCTTTAAGTGGAAAGCCCTAACAGATGTAAAACTTAGTTTGATCAGTTCTGTCCAGACGTGAATTTTAGTCACATAATAGCCTGTTTTCAAAATCCTCGATGGTGCTATCTTCACCTCAGGAGTATGCGGGATGTTTATTAATTATACATATATAAAAGCACAAAGCCACCTGCAAAAGCACACATTATTCTAACAATTGGAGAAGCTGCAAGAGGCAGCCTAGAAGGCCAACAGCAGCATCTGCTCTACACTTTCAACACAGCCTTCCCATGTTAAAAAGAAGAAAGTATCAAAACTTGTATAAACTTCCAACCTACCTTCTTCTGTAGTGCCATATCTAGGGATACGTTAATATAGACATACTGTTTGGGGTTAGTGAAGTCCAGTTCCTGAAATTTCTTTAGCATACCCAAAGCCTCTTCCACATCATAGGATGGCCGCTCATAATACCATGTCAAGTATACATCATCCACGGGCTTGCTCATAAGCGGCCACCTCCTAGTTACTTTTTTCTTTTTTGTTTCTTCCTGCTTGGTCTTACGTGAACCTTTTTTTGCAGTTCTAAGACAAACAAAAAAATATTGTTAGATCATCAACTGAAGAGTTTGGCACATGTTCTAAGAGAAAAAAGTAGATACTGTTATGTGTCACTTATTAAGTAACAATTAGTTAACAAGGAAGGTTCCACACAAAGATGAACAGCATCCCTAAATTCATCCCAGTTACTTGTCTTAGGTGGCCAAGACAGAAATCAAAACATTCAGAAACCAAAAGCTCTGTGGGCAATTAAGCTTCTCAGACAACAAAGCCACATTTGTGTAGCGTGGAACCAAGTTAACAACCTCCTACTATATCAACACAAAACCAGTTTCAAATAACACACCAACTTTTACAGGTCTTGCCGTCACACAGGCTGGTAGTGGGCACTGTGCCCGAGCTGCTTCTAAATCCAGCAAATCCCACGCACCTTCCTCTTCATCAGAAGGAGCCACATCTGCAGAGTTTTTCTTCTCCTTATTGTGGATCATAGCAGTCCCACCTTTCAAAAAAGGTTTCTCCTCCCTTTCCTGTATCATTTTGGATGCAGTTAAACACTAATCCTAAACCCTATTCTCCTACCTACTTTCAAAGGCTCACAAATCAAGGAAAAAATATTAAAGTAACAGCTAGCTACTCCACTCCTCTGTTAACTACGGTCAAAGAGTCTGCAACACTTCAGAACACTTTGTGTACAGCACACTTCCCTCAGTACACAGAGTTCATTTTTAGTTCTCCCACTTACACTGTAATATTAGATTTAAAAAGAGAAGAAATTCAACAATAAAAAGCAGCATGAAGCAAGATGAGAAACTGTTTGAAACTGACTCCATAAGCTTATCAGCTTTGATGCTGACAGTACTCCTTAACCTATAATCCAGCCACACCTTCCAAAACCACACATCAAAATAAAGAAGTAAATCTCTCCCCATAACTGTTACCTTCGTTATTACAAGAGTAACATAAAACACTCCCTGCAAGTCTAGCTTAAATCTTCTCTCCCCAGGCTGTTTCTCTAAGAGCTAGCAGCCTGTGGGATGCCACCAACGCCTGGTCGGCTGTTAGAGCCACACTGCAGACGCCGAAACCACCACACACACCCCCCCATCAGGACACCCGACGGCCAAGAGAGCTGCTTCGGATGGAAAGAGACGCACTCACTTCGCTGCCGCAGCATAGGGCCGGGCGGGCGGCGTGAGGCTCACCAAGGCGGGGGCGGCGGCGAGGCGCTGGTCGAGCCCGGGGAAAATCCACCCGCGACGCGGGGCCAGTGCTGCGAGAGAAAAAAAGCAAACATCGCCTCAAACAGCCGCCCCCACCTCCCTCACTTCCCCGGGGGCCGCCCGCCAGGGCAGGCCCCAGCGCCCCTCAGGGTCACCCCCTGCCCCGCGATCAAAGGAGAAAAAACCACCGGCTGCAGATAGATAGACAAAAGCCGGCAGCCAGCGCCCGCGCTTTCCCGGCGGTGAAAGAGACAGCGAAGCCCCTTCACCTCTCCACAAGCAGCGACCAGCGGGCGCCGCCATCTTGCAGCACCAGCGCGGTGCAGCGCGAAAAGCATCCCCTGCGGCGGCAAGCACTTCCGGCAGCGGCCGGAAACGCCGGACTGTGTCCCGCTGCTGCCGTCCCCCCCCAAACCGCCACTGCCGGCGCTCGCCGTTCCTACGGTGCAGCGGTCCCCCCTCCCGGCTTGTGTCCGGCGAAGGGAGCATTACCGGGGCCTGATTAAAAGCCTCCAGCTCGGTTCTTAACCGGCCTGAAAGGCGGCCTCGCTACAAAACCCGGGTTGTCCCGAGAGCTCCGCGAACAGAGCTGACACCCCCCACCGAGGCGGTGTTCAGTGGGCAGGGCCTGCGCCAGAGACACCCAACATGGTGGCACCTCCTGCGGGCCGCTTCCCTCAGAAACCGGCCTGTGTCTGCCCGAAAGAAACGTCTGCCCGGGTTAACGTTGGCCGTTTCACTCTTAACGCTCTTGGCTGTGATTTTTCTGGCTGTCCTCACTCTCGTTCACTTGTAGATGAGTTGGGAAAAAGATCCGCCTGGTCTACAGACCTACTCGTGGAGCGGCATCCGCCTGCAAGGACTTTGTTTAACCGGGTCCTAAACCGTTCAGATATCTGCCGTAAACTATAATCCTGTCTCTTGCTATATGTGCGCTCGTTAAAAGGGGCCTCTTTATTCTCCACCGATGTGCTTTTTGACTAAAAACATCCCGACTCCTGCAGTTCCACTCCTCTCCCTGATAAATTTGTGTCCAAGAATATTCTCTCAATTCAATCAACTCCTTCCTGCTCCAAACTCTTGAACTCAGGCTCATCTTGCCTGCTGGTTTCTTCGGAAATATTTGTAAAATACCTGAGTAGCAATGACACTACGTGTTTTCTTGTGGTGCAAGATGGTGCAAACTTCCCAAAGAAACAGCAGCGTTTGTCTCCATAGGGGCCATGGGCACTGCGAAGGCCCGGCATCTGTTTGGATGTTTACATCTCACCTGGCACTCCCCAGACTAAAATTGTTATTTTTCAGTCAGACGTATGTGCATATGTAAAACCAGTCGTTACAAAAAAAATGATACGTGTTTGTCCAATGTAACTATATGCTCAGTGTCCTGGGAAAAGATCAAGACGGGGAGGTGTGAGAGTGGACAGGAGGAAAAAAAGAAACTTCCTCGCTTAAAAAATCTCAGTGAGGAGTGAAAAAGCATGAATTTAAAACACAGAGGCAGAGCGGGTTTGAGGAAGGGGTTCTTTTTGGATGGGCGTTAATCGCGTATGTCTCCTATAGTGGTGGCAGACGTAACACAAGACTCACCACGTGACTCTGTTTAATATGCACCTCTGATCAGGTAACGACTGGCATCCTTCACGGTATTCCTCCATGACTCCTCAATCCCCTTGCGAGCCTCCGACTTGTTAGACACAAGGTCGCTGCTGTGGATCACGGATTTTGGCCCTGGGAGGGAAATACGGGCTCACGGTTTAACGTGCACCCATTCCCGATTACTCACTCGCTCTGAAGCCCAATTCTCATCAAAACCCCTTGCTCTGTCGCAGAGGCTCCTTCTGCATTTCCCACTCTCTGACCATATATGAGCTTTTTTGGTCCAGCACAAGTCCAGGCAGCCGCAAGTTCCAATAAAAAGCTCTTGGGCCCGATCTCTTGTTCCACCTCGTGCCCTCCCCAGCCACCTGCTGCTCCCTCAGACACCTCCCTGCACCTCTTTGATCCTTTTTTTTTTTTTCCAGCACCATTTTTCCACCTGGGCTGTCCCACAGGTCAGCGCGCAAAGCCCTACATCCCTCCCCACCCCTGGCTGCTGCTTTTATTTTATTTTTCAATCCATCTTTCCCTCACGGTAGGCCCACGTTCCTCCCCACTGAACGTGGAAACAGCCACCAGAAGAATTTCGGTGCGTCTGAGAGAAGATGAGCTTTAATGCTGGAGTGACGTTTACCTGCGCTTCCTTGCTTCAGCTGCCCAGAAGAGAATCCCCCCGTCTCACGAGGCTCCGTACAACTGAAATTTGGGCGCCGAAAAAGATTTCCCAGAAAAGGAGCTGCTGCCTGCGGAGAAACAATCGTGGCTGACAACGAAGAGGAGATGTCTGCACCCTCAAGTAAATCCCATGCTGAAGACGGAGGTCTGACCCCCCGGCCCCCCAGCTTCGCCTGCGGCCATTTCCCTCTCCCGCTCTCCCAACCCCGGGGGTGAGCAGCCCCCTACTCACCCCCTCGCCTCCATAATTTGGGGGGCAAGCAACACCTCACAAGTCTCCCCCAAACCCAAGCCACCATCCCGCCGCTGGCCTTCCGGATGACAACCTCCCCCCCCCCCGCCCCCCCTCCGGAGAGGGCTCCCGGTTGCCGCCAACAAAATCATGAGGTAAAAATGGGGCGTCTTCCCCCCCTCAAGCGTTTCGGGGACCTGCCGCTGTCACCCCGGGCCGGTGGTGTCCTCCCGGGGCCGGCGACGCGTCGTTCCCCGCCCCGGGCAGGTGTTGACACGGGC